ACCCTCAGAGGTAAGAACTTCCTAATGTCTAATCTAAAACTTCCCTCTTTCAGCATACTGTTTGGTGGATAAGGAATTTGGTGGATGGTGGCTCGATGTCCAGATGGAAATCAGCAACATGTGGTGCCCGTCTGGGGCCTGTACTGGTACCAGCACTGTATTGAGGGTACGGAGGGATTGAGTGTACCTCAGCAAGTTTGCTGCTGACACCAAGCTGCCTAGTGCAGTTGATAAGCCTGAAGGACAGGATACCATCCAGAGCACCCTGGAGAAGCTTGAGAAGAGGGCCCATGTGAGCCTTACGGATTCTCATAAAGCCTCCTATCTCAGAAGATATGCCTCTGAATATTAAAAATAAACAAGAACCCCCCCCAAACAAACAGCAAAACCACCCCCCCTCCTTTTACCTGTTAACAGAAACTGTAAGATCTTTCTGATTTGCTAAATTCTGTATTTCAGACTAAACAATGCAGTTCCCATTAGAGTAATACATTCTGAGTAGACCCGTTGAAAACAATTATCTTAAGGGGTCTAAGTTCTCATTCCTCAAGGACTTGAATCATTCTACTGACATTCCTACACCAGCACTTACTAGAGTTAGCAACACCATAAATAATCATAAATAGCTTGAAAGACACAAAACCCCTTCATTCATTCTATGGACCTAGGACACAATGCCACAGACGGTGATTAGTAATTTTCTAGACAGACTGTGGACACATACTGTCCATTTGTCTTTGAAAACTGCCATCTCCTCTTTGAATTCTCTGGCTGGCTCCTCATTTCACTGCACCTCACTCAAACATCGTATTCAAACACTAAACTTTTTACAAAACTACATCTGCTTTCTGGTCTGCTCTTCAGCCTTACCATGCCTTTTCAGTGTCGTCTCCTGTTCCACCAGTGAAGCCATTGTTCACTGTATCCCATACTGATGTGTGCCTTCATCATTCAGGCACAGAAAGCACCTCCTGAACTAGGCGTAAGTCAGAGTTCTCTCCCTCATACAAAACACCCTGGTTTGTATGTTTGTGTATGCTTGTGTGACTGTATTGTCTAACACACAATGAAGGAATAACACCAATATTTATCCTTTCTGCAGATATTGCCTACCTCCATCATTCAAAGGTTTTGCAGCTAAGGATTGTTCATCTGCACTTACGCATCATTTTCCATTACACCCCATCACCAGTGGGCTATCTAGCACTGTCTATCACCAAGATGCTAAATGTGTAATACTGTGTGTGCTGTAAGGTCCAATAGTACAGTTTATTGAATGTGAAACTATCCTACACCATCTGATAGCAAAATTCACATGACACAGGAAGGGAGTATGCTTTTTTTATTTAGCAACTAAAAGGCATGTGATTTGGCAAAATTCACATCATGTACTGCAAATGCCAATGGAACACATACAGCAGCAATCTTGGTTTGGAAGACAAACCACTACAGCTTCACTAACAACATTTGGTTTTCACACTTCTAACAGTATCCATCAAACAATTAAAAGTCACTTTGAACGGCAAACAGAATGAGAGGTGTTCATGCTCTGTTGCCTGCTTCAGTGTACCACCATAAACTACAAGAGTGTCAATACAACAGTAGCCTAGGACAGATTAACACAGGCTGTCTAACAGGAGTGGATTGAGAGATGTTGGGGATAAGGAGCCTATGTATAGCCTATGCTGTGAATCCTTCCTACAACCCGACACCTTTAAGCACTTTGAATTTACTCTCTACAAGAAATGTAATTCACATCCTTAAACCATAACCACACACAGTTAATATAAACCTATCGCTAAGTACTAAGGTGAGGTTAACAATTTATTCAAGGGAATTACAAAATAATTTATATGTCTTAAAAAATTATAAATGCCAGGCTATAACACTTCATGGATTTGTTAATCTGCTGATCACTGTTCCAGAACATATTCATATGAGTGCCCCATTTAAGTTTTTGGCAGGCATAGAGCCTACCTACCACTTTTTTTCCTTACATCATTTCTCTACATTCCTTTGGCAATGAACACAAATGCCTTTCTGCTTTTCAAGGTAATGCCCGTTCAATATCTGCACATTTTAGCTCTGGAAAACTTAAAAAGTTTTCAGCTGGGTTTTCTTTTGGTAGTATGAGGACTACCTTTTTGGAAATCTAACATGGGATATGTTGAATAGTACTCCTGGTGCTATGTAAGAAGGGATCTATAGGATTCTGGGACAATGAAGAGATTCTGGAAGAATAGCTGGCGAATGAAGTTGCTAAGCCACTGTCCATCATATTTGACAAATCGTGGCAGTCAGGTGAAGTTCCAAACAACTGGAAAAAGGGAAATACAGCTCCTATTTTCAAGAAGGGGAAAATAGATGACCTGGGGAATCACAGACCAGTCAGTCTCACCTCTGTGCCTGGCAAAATTGTGGAGCAGATTCTCCTGGAAGGCATGCTAAGGCACATGGAAAACAACAAGGTGCTTGGTGACAGCCAGCATGGCTTCACTAAGGGGAAATCCTGCCTGACCAATTTGGTGGCCTTTTATGATGGGGCTATGGAAATCATGGACAGGGGTAGAGCAGTTGATATCATCTACCTGGACTTGTGCAAAGCATTTGACACTGTCCCACATGACATCCTTGTCTCTAAATTGGAGAGACATCAATTTGATGGATGGACCACTCGGTGGATAAAGAACTGGCTGGATGGCCGCACACAAAGAGTTGTGGTCAATGGCTCAGTGTCCAGCTGGAGACCAGTAACGAGTGGTGTCCCTCAGGGATCGGTGTTGGGACCGGTCTTGTTTAACATCTTTGTCGCTGACATGGACAGTGGGATTGAGTGCGCCCTCAGCAAGTTTGCTGATGACACCAAGCTGTGTGGTTCGGTTGATACGCTGGAGGGAAGGAATGCCATCCAGAGGGACCTTGACATGCTTGTAAGGTGGGCTGATGCCAACCTCATGAAGTTTAACCATGCCAAGTGCAAGGTCCTACACCTGGGTGGGAGCAATCCCAGGCACAATTACAGGTTGGGCAGAGAAGAGATTCAGAGCAGCCCTGCGGAGGACTTGGGGGTACTGGCTGATGAGAAAATGAACATGAGCCGGCTTCAGTGTGCACTTGCAGCTGAGAAAGCAACTGTATCCTGGGCTGCATCAAAAGGAGCATGACCAGCAGATCGAAGGAGGTGATCCTGCCCCTCTACTCTGCTCTTGTGAGACCTCACCTGGAGTACTGTGTGCAATTCTGGTGTCCTCAACATAAAAAGGACATGGAACTGTTGGAACAAGTCCAGAGGAGGCCACGAGGATGATCAGGGGACTGGAGCACCTCCCATATGAAGACAGGCTGAGAAAGTTGGGGCTTTTCAGCCTGGAGAAGAGAAGGCTGCGTGGAGACCTCAGAGCAGCCTTCCAGTATCTGAAGGGGCCCTATAGGGATGCTGGGGAGGACCTCTTCATTAGGGACTGTAGTGACAGGACAAGGGGTAATGGGTTAAAACTTAATCAGGGGAAGTTTAGATTAGCTATAAGGAGGAAATTCTTCCCTGTTAGGGTGGTGAGGCACTGGAATGGGTTGCCCAGGGAGGTTGTGAATGCTCCATCCCTGGCAGTGTTCAAGGCCAGGTTGGATGAAGCCTTGTGTGGCATGCAAGGTGTGTGTGAGGTGTCGCTGCCCATGGCAGGAGGGTTGGATCTAGATGACCTTGAGGTCCTTTCCAACCCTAACTATTCTGTGATTCTATGATTATTACTTTCCATGTGTAGAAGGCTTTCCTTTTAAAATACCACTTCAGATCATGCATGAGGGTGGTAGTGATCAAAGCACCAATGCCGAAAGCTTATAGGATCAGCCCCTACTCAGTACTAAGCCTCCTTGTGCGAGCAACAGATGTTGCTAATGAGGGTAACAGACCAGACTGGAACTAAAGCTGTTATTTCCCCACAGCTCCTTGGTACCCCTTGAGAAAGGAAGATGACAGGCATACTGGTAGAACATGTAAATCAAAGAGCAGGTACTGCATCCCTGACTTAACTACTCTCAAGATGCTTTTAAGAGACCATGAACCAGCAACTTTATTCTCAACATGCAAATGCTTCATACAAGAAGTGGCAGACACAGTCCTTGTACCAAATTCCACTTGATACTTTCAGTCCTGTTTCCAAGGTATGTGTGTGCGTTCATCCTTCTTCCTCTCATTCCTTTTGAACCCACTGACCACTTTCAAGCAAATTTAACTGAAATAAGAGACTAAGTTGCCATAAGCTTAATGATGTTTTTACTGACTCTCAGTGAAATGAGGGTGCAGCATAAGTTAAAGTTTTGTTGTTTTTTTTTTTTTTTTCATATTACAAGATTCATATGGGAATGGTGGAGAAACATGAATGCCCTAATTGTGAGAAAAGCTTCAGCTGTCACTTGTACATAACTTGTTAATGGAAAATCCAGAAGCAAACAGAAAACAGGGATCTAGGTTCCACCAGTTCCAATCCTACGTGACCATGCACTTCCATGTTCACCAGGCTGGGACACTCTCTCCAGTCCCAGTGCTGCCAGGTCTTTTCACACTTTTTTCATCTTCACTGTTTTGATCATCTTCTACCTTTGTGTCATTTCTAAAGAGGCATGTGCTGACACTGTCACTGTCACACAGAATGAATAGAACTGGGACCAACTGTGAATTTTATCACCCTTATCTCTTGCTTCTCACAGCCTGCTAAGGTGCTGCCCCAAGCTGCTAATCAGGTGCTGTTTAATTGTAATGAATGTTGTGTTCAGAAGGTAACCTGAGCTCCACATGACTAAGGTTACAGCTTGTAATTGCTGCTGCAGTCAGGCAGTACTTGGCAAGTCAAATGTTCAGAATAACTTCACTGTCACTTCCGATCTTTTACACCTGATAAAACTGAAGCTTAAGTACAGTATGAGATGATCCACAGGAGAAACATACCACTGGTTTGCTGCATCTACCAGCTGGGGTCAGAACTTGAGCTTTCTACATAACCCTTTTCCAAAGAACTTCATTCGATGGATTTATCAGAATGAGTGGTTTATACATCTGAATCATCTTCTGAACTGATGTTTGTTTTCAGCCTTTTTTACACTGTTATCCAGTTAGATGAGAAAAAGAATTCAAACTCTCCAATCCATATCTGTACTAAAGAAATAGAAAGGGGAGCAGAACTATCTGGTACTATTTTGCAAGACCAAAGACTCTTCCTAGGATACACATGACAGTGCTGGGTTAACAGTTGGACTTGATGATCTTAAGGGTCTTTCCAACCTAAATGATTCTGTGCTATTACATTTCAAGATGTACGGTTTCAGCATCCCTTGATCTGCTTTTGAAATAATCACTGCTAGTGAAAATGGCCTGCTAATCCACAACTGGGAATCCACAACAAGAAGGACTGGAGTTCCTCCTTAAAATAGAAGACTTAAGTTAGGCAAAAAGTGATAAAACAATTTCTCACCTCAACAACTGTCTGGTGCCTGACTAGGCATGCTGTGGAATTGTTCGCTTTAAGCCAAAACCAGTGGCACTTCCCATTTACAGGTATAGTGAGCAATGGCCACCAACGGATCAGCGTGCATCTGGCAAAGCACAGGCCCAGGAGAACACCATCACTCACTATTTCCTGCTTAAAAAGAAATGTGTCATCTGTAGAATGCTTCGGTTTTGAAAAATACTTCCATATCCCTCCTCATGGATCTGGTAGCTGTGATTGCTGGAGAAAGTGAATCCTCATTATAGCCAGTACAAGCTGTGAATTACTGAAATTGCACATCTGAATTTACTCATATCTCTTATAAACTTTCTGAATATGACTCCTGCAAAGTAACATTTAATAACTACTACCTCTAGTAAATTCTGTTTGTGTGCTAGCAAGAATTATTACAGTGCCTCAACAAAATACAGTGTTAAGATGGTGTTTCACTGCTGAATGTGTTACTTGGATAATCATCTTTCTGAGTATTCGTACCCCATCTTGTGACCCACAGTGGAAGTGCAGGAGCGACCAAACCGCTTCTTGCTTGTACCTCGAGGACACCTAAAAACAGTTCTCCGACTAACGCAGGCTATAGATTCTGTATTTTTGAAAGTAAAGATTAAAAAGTAATTTAGCAGCCGGCCAAATTTGAAAAAGGCTTACCTGCACGAGGATGAAAATTGCATTTGGGTTCACCTTTTAGTTGATGAGGCATCATTATTTAGTTTGACATACAAAGTATCTGCATTATCCAGACAGGTGCTGGATCGCTGCTCCTTGCTCTCATCATCAAAACCAAGGGTCCATGATCCCTTCTTGCATTTGTGATAAAAATCTTAACCTGCGAAGTACCACACACATTGTAACATCATCATTCAAACTCTCTACACCTTTACAAAATTAAGAACTCACCAGGGTTCCAATTATTTCTAAAATGTCTCAAAAGAAGAAAACAAAAGCTGAGTTAACAAAGAAAGATGGATAGGAATACTTTGCGCGTTCACACATTTTTAAGGTATCTCTCACCCACTGATCTTGTAAAAATTAAGAGACACAGAAAACAGATCTATGTTTGAAATTTAGTTTTAAAAGCATTTCCCTCCCTGAGCTTGTATTAGTCCTGATGTCTCTGATTCTGCAGACATACTAACAAACTGCAGGCTCACCTCTCCTTCTAGATGTGCCTTCTAGCCCCTGTGTGTCCCCAGAACATTAAAAAAAGTCCATCAGGAATATAACCAGAAAAGGCATTTCAATCAAGTAACAACACACTAACATAGTACTTCCATATCATGTCCTTTGTGCAACAGAACAGGATAAAACCTAAACACAGTAGCAAACAGAAAAGTACAAATTTTGCCCAAACCACACAATTCACAATACAGCATCATCAACGAGCTAGAGAATTATTTCACCCAGCTGCAATGGCCAGTAACTTGAAAACAAGAATCACTTACAAGGGTGGCCACTGGAACAGAGACTCTTCTCCTAACCAGCAAAGAACAGTCCAAACTCATCACTTGAAGAGCTCATCAGGATTGCAGGCAATGATGAAGAAAGTGCTTCAGTGGTTGCTCCCCAATCAAAGAGAATTGTTATCTGTGAAGGAATGCTATCTGCAAGGCAATTAAAACTCCAGTTGTGTTGCTCATTCAATCATCTACTTAAATAGGCTACAAAAAATAGAACAAAATCTGTCAGTGCCAAGGAGAAAGCCACTCTTGCAATACAGAGACTAACAAGAGCTCTGGATAAACTGCACATCCACATTTATATATATATATATATATATATACGTGGATACATGTACCTTGCTAGGCACTGCAGCAGACACACTGGTTAACCCGTTTTGGCTGCACTTGGTGTTTGTGATTTACCTGGTGTTGTACTACTCAGCACTACACAACAGCCTGGGCAACTGCTGCTAAGTTAATGTGTTACCACTACCCCCAAATCTTCTCACTCATTTCCAGTGCAAGCTGCTTATGAAAAATGACATGGGAGCAGCCACAAGGGCAATGGCAACGGGGATCCAAAGCCCCTAGGGCTAAGTAACAGTGCTAACGACAGCCAGGACTAGGGGCTGTCCAAACTACAGACCAGCACCTGAGCGACCGCAGGCTGCAAGACACACACATCCCAGCTGGCAATTCCAGGCCACCCAGGCTAGCCCGCCCAGCCCCTTCCAGAGAGGACAAGACCAGATCATGGGCCTTGGGGCTGCTGCACCCGTAGCACAGCAGAAAAACTGACCCTAAGCGACAGGGCCCGCACCTCTCAGGTCCCCGCCAGGGGTGCCATTAGAAAGCCCCCCCTCCCCGGACGGCTGTAATAAATGGCGGAGGAGGCGGAGACCTTTCCACTGCTGCCCAGTGAGGGCCTAAAGCCCCGGGGGGGGCGGTGCTCCACGGCACCAACCCCAATGGGCGTCAGAGGCCGCGGATGACGGACGGGCTACCCCCTCCGCCCAGAGTCTTTAGTAGGCGGGTCTTGATGCCCGTCAGCCAATGGGGCGTGCGACGCGAGGCGCGTCGCGCCTTCCCGTGGTGCCGCGCGGCGAGCGGCGGCAGGAGCGGTCGTGACTCCATCCGGGTCCCGCCGCTGCTCCGGGTCACCCTGTGGCAGGTAACGGGGCGGCGGCCGCAGGCGCTGTCCTCGTGGGGCGCTGCCATTGTCCGCGGGCCGGGCGGCGAGCCGGGGGCACCCCGCGGGGAGTGGCCGCAGGGGCCTAGGCGTGGGGCTTCGGGGAGCTGGGGGGCGGGCGGAACAGACGGGCGGGCCTGGGCCCGGCCACCCCACCCAGCCGCGGGCTGGCGCGCGCGCGCTTCTCAGGTCGGTTCCTCCACTCGGTGTCTCCGCCCCGCGGGGGGGAGCTGTCCCCGGCAGGGGAAGCGGCATAGGCCGCGGGCGGGGGCCGCCGGCTCGGTGAGAGGCGGGGTTGTGGCGGCTGCTGCCGGGCGGGGCCTCCTGCTCCCCCCCAGTCCCCTCGGGCTCCCCGGTTATTGTCGTGTTTTTCTTCATCGGGGCCTTCCCGCCCCCCCCCGTCTGCTCCAGACTAACTTGCGGACTGGGAAGTAACGCCCCCGGGCGCTCCGCAGTGGTGCCTTGGCTCCGCCGCCCTCCGGGGATAGGCCGCGGATTCCGTAAGCGCCTGGGTACGTCACTTCCGCTATCAAGTGTGTGGGCAGGGGGGGCCTTGGCCGCAGGGGGGAGCCCCCCCAACCCCCGGCGCCGGGGGTGAGATCCGGGCCCGCCCTGCCCCGCGCTGGCGGTGCCCCGCGGGGAGCGGGCAGGGCCGCGACGGGGCCATGGGGGCCCGCGGGGCGCGTCGTGAGAGTCATGTTGAGAACGAGGGCGCAGAAGTCGAGGAAATACTGGCTGAAACGCAGCTCCTGCGGCTGCGGAGAAACAGGGCATCCTTTCGTCGTTCTTGGAGCAGGTAAGCCAACTTGGCTGCCAGGGGACTTTACCAAAACACACATGTATTGGGGTGGCTCCTCATCAAATTTGTATGTTCTGTTCACAGCAACACTTGGCTGTTAAGCAGCGTGAACTCACCCAAGCATTTATTTACAGTGGTTGTTCAGACTTGCTTCAAGACTTGTTCAGAGTCATTCTGGTATAGTTGACATGTGGTAACAGATGTAGTAGTATTGTTTTGTATGTAATAGTTGGCTGCATGAAGATGGGCTTACTAGATTGCTCTTTGTCATGGTATTTTTAATTTAAAGTTGCTGATTGTAATTTTTTTCACTGTTTCACCAGGTTATACTCTGTGAAGTGCAACCTCAATCCATATAGATCATGCATATAGTTGTATAGTAAGACTGGAGACTTGTGAAAAGGAAGCTTAGGTAAGACATGGAATCACAGTATCACAGTATGTTAGAGATTGGAAGGGACCTCAAAAGATCATCTAGTCCAATCCTCCTGCCAGAGCAGGAACACCTAGATAAGGTTACACAGGAACGTGTCCAGGCAGGTTTTGAATGTCTCCAGAGAAGGAGACTCCACAGCCTCCCTGGGCAGCCTGTTCCAGTGTTCTGTCACCCTCACTCAGAAGAAGTTTCTTCTCAAGTTTAAGTGAAACTTCTTGTGTTCCAGTTTGTACCCATTGCCCCTTGTCCTATCATTGTTTGCCACCGAGAAGAGCCTGGCTCCATCCTCGTGACACTCCCCCTTTATATATTTATATACACTAATAAGGTCACCCCTCAATTTCCTCTTCTCCAAACTATAGAGACCCAGCTCCCTCAGTCTTTCCTCATAAGGGAGATGCTCCACTCCCTTAATCATCTTAGTTGCCCTGTGCTGGACTCTCTCCAGCAGGTCCCTGTCCTTTTTAAACTGAGGGGCCCAGAACTGGACACAATATTCCAGATGAGGTCTCACCAGGGCAGAGTAGAGGGGAAGGAGGACCTCTCTCGACCTACTAACCACCCCCCTTCTAATACACCCCAGGATGCCATTGGCCTTCTTGGCCACAAGGGCACAGTGTCGGCTCATGGTCACCCTGTCGTCCACCAGGACCCCCAGGTCCCTCTCCCCTACACTGCTCTCTAACAGGTCATTCCCCAATCTATACTGGAACCTGGGGTTGTTCCTGCCCAGATGCAGGACTCTACGCTTTCCCTTGTTATATTTCATCAAGTTATTCCCTGCCCAACTCTCCAGCCTGTCCAGGTCTCACTGGATGGCAGCACAGCCTTCTGGCGTGTCGGCCACTCCTCCCAGCTTAGTGTCATCAGCAAACTTGCTGATAGTACACTCAATTCCCTCATCTAAATCATTGATGAATATATTAAATAATACTGGTCCCAGTACCGACCCTTGAGGCACTCCACTAGATACAGGCCTCCAACTAGACTCCGCCCCATAGACTACAACTCTCTGGCTTCTTTCCTTCAGCCAGTTCACAGTCCACCTCACTACCTGATCATCCAGACCACACTTCCTCAATTTAGCTGCGAGGATGCTGTGGGAGACTGTGTCATGACTGAATCATTTGTTTTGTTTTTCTGCTACTAAGAAGCTGTATCCTTATTTCACTTTCCTTTTGATAAATGCCTTCTGTATTTTCCTCTGTTGTCAATAGTGGAAAACATCAGTTCATTTGCAAAATAGTGAAAGGCTCCCAGGCCTTGTAAATTGCATTAGGTGTTATATTGGGAATTAATAGTGTAACACAACATACTTGAAAATGTTCTCATGCACTAACTTCATTATTTGTTCAATTTGCGTAATTATTAACATGCAGACTTTATGCTGGAGAAGCTAGCCCTCGTACTAGTGGCATGATCTAAAAGACACAAATCTAGTGATTAAATACGGAGTTTTATGCTTACAGTAAGTATGCAGTCCTGTTTGAAGCAGGAATAAATAACCAAATTATGATTTCCTCTTCAGAAGTGTGTTGAGGCCTTTGTATCCTTTGAAGCTGTAGCTAAACTGAAATGTGCTCATATATGTCTTCTTGCAGTGGACTGACAGATGCCAGATTTCCACAAATCCTTTTTGAATACACAACATTTTGGTGTAGTACACTACAACAACCTTACTCCTTTACAGAGTTTTTACAGCATTAATCCTTACTACGTTACTCCTTTCACTGAGGCTTTTGCCAGCTTTGTACAGTACTGTAATGCATGCAGCACTTATACAGATAGTTTAATACCAATATTGTAAACTTGAGTGTATGTGTGAGAAGACGGTAGGATTTGTATTACTTTGGTTCTTTGTTAATATTGGAGATCTCCACAGGAGATGTGCTTCATTCTGCTCATGAGTGGGCAGTAATGACTTCTGTCTTCTTTGAAGCCACTGTTTCTGGATATTTATATTCTGTCTGTAACTACATGATTAAAAAATAAGCCAAAATTAAATATACTAATTAAAAATGTGTCAAGCCAGTAGTATTTTAATCTTATAATTACTTAAAACCAGAATACTTTGTGTTAAAGCAGTTAATTGTAGATGGGATATAGGTTTTTCTTTAAAAAGTAATTAAAATTCCTATTTCTGATCGAGGCACCAGATAAATATGTTATTGCTGACAGTCAGTTGTATTAATCTTAAAGTGTGGTGTGAAAAATGCCAAGAAATGGTGGACTCACCATAGTGGACTCACATCCCTCTCAGGTGTGTGGACCTTGGTACTGCTTGTGCTTCAAGGTGAAGCACATTTGTATAGCGTTGAGTGCTGAAGCTGCTTATGTTCCTTTTCTCCTCTTTGTAAAATTTGCCACTTCAAAACTGTTCTGGTGTGATTCACACTTACTTCAAGCGTACTGTTGCTAAAGGGACTAGCACAGCTGAGTAGAGGTATTGAAATTAAAGTTTGAGGCATGAAAAGGTGCCTGGACTTCACCTGGAAAGTGTTACATTCTGCTGAAAGAATTTTTGCTTTCTTGGTCAGTGCCTGTATTCAGTGCAGGTAAATTTGCTTTGCACAAAGTAACAAAAAAGAAACCAACCCCAAACCAAGAAATTTATTTTAGTCTGATAATCAGTAAACTGATTTCTTTAGTCTTAATCTTCACACACGTTTTTAATTTACAGCTTTGACTTTCGTTGTGCTTAATATTGCCCACTGAATTTCTACAGCTGAACCGAAGCAGTAGAGTCTTTTCAGATAACAAACTCTTCACAAATTTATAATTGCCAGATGATACTTTCACAGAAGGATGTACTACAGCACTGTATACCTCAAGTTAACGTATATACTTATCTCCACACTGCATGTAGGACGTGTCAGTAAAGC